AAAAAAAAAAAGTAATCGATATAAGGTTAATCATAACACCTATCTAAATGAATTATACACCGATACATTGAAAGACGACAAAAAATATTACATATCTAATAGTGGGGAAATACGCACCGACAACAGACTCCATGTACGGAAAAGCCATGGCGGAGAGAAGGATGGTGTTTTTGACGACCTGCAGAAAATGGATTTTTGAAGGCGAAGAGTTTTGAACAGTGTGTTTATACTCGGATTGTTCCATATGCACTTACGGGTTGGGTTAACCCTAAAAGGTAATTCGGGCTTTCACTATTAGAATTAGGGCATGTTTGGATATATATACAACAATTCGAAACGAGTCTTTTTTAGTTAACTATTGTTAATTTTGATAAAGTTGGTATGATTAGTTGTTGATAGAAATTTGAGTTTTATATTAAAATAATATTTAAATTAAAAGAATTAAATTCGATTTGATGTAAAAAAAAAAATAAGAGAGACATGATGTGAAAGTGAGTTAAAATTATGTTAGTTGATGAATAGTAAATTAAAATCGATGTGATGTGTATATGAAATTAATTGATATTTTATTTAATTATATTGATAATTAGTACAACGCCTGTGAATTGCACGAGTGTTTTCATAAAAAAAAAATAATTGTCCAACAAAAAGTGAAAAAAGAATAAATTCTTATTGTGACATAAAAAAACTATAAATAGTTAATAAGAAATTATTTTTGGTAAATATTATTTTTAATTCTAGAAAATATTTTTTTGAACTATTATTTGTTTTATTTAATATATACTAAATTAAATATAATAATTAATTTATTCGTAGTTAAAATAACACCCGTGAATGACACGGGTGCTTGAAAAATAAATATTTTTACTAATATAAAGATCTGAATAAATTTATATTATTGCAATAGAATGATAAAAAATAAAAATACAACTATTAATTAAAAAATAATAATGTTTATACTCGATTTGTCAAAATGATAATTTTTTTAACCACACACACATACATATATCTTATTTACAACTCAATAATTTAATTTTGAATTAATTTATTTTTTTCAAGTTTGTTTATATTGTAATTATATTTTATACTTTTACAGTTTTCTTCCTTCAACTAATATTTTTAAAATATTTTTAATTTTATAATATTCAAATAATTTGAAATATAATGTGTATGATATTACTTTATGAAATATAGTAATTATTTTTATTATTCTAATTATATGTTTTTTTATAATGTTCACTCTCTATGTAGTCTTTATTTAAGTTGAGACTTGATGTTCAGTAAGTTTACATGTTTTTTTCCAAATAAAACAATTATTTATAGTTTGTTAACACACATAAATTCTATTACTTTATAAGATAATTTATAGTTTTATTTGATATTTTTTAATCGGCATAATGTGTATTAATATAGGGACTGGCTTAGTGGCGGCGGATGAGGGTTGGCACGGCGGGAGAGTAATAGAATTTACTATTTTCTAAAAACGGACGATAAATTGCACTTTAGAATGAGAGTTTTGTTCTGAAAATTTGATATGTTTAAGGAACTTAACTGTAATTTTATAAACTTTAATATATTACAATTTAGTTCATGAATCTAACTTATAATTTATAAAAATATTATTAACTATTTATTTGAAATCATTATTTTTTCAGCTCATTAAGCATTTTTTTTAATGAAATTAGTTAATTATTTATAATGGCATAACCAAGCCACTTAAAATTCTGCACATAGATGCTATAATAATATTTTTAATACTTTTCATTTAGTTAATTGACCACTCAAAATTGTAAAAATATTTTGTTGCAATCAATATAGTGATTTATATGTAAGTTAATAAGTTTGTATTTATATTGCTTATTTATACAAATAATTAAATTTATAAAATATGGTATATAAGTTATGATTTTCAAATGTAATATACATACTCATATATATATATATAATTTATAAAAACTAATCACTGTTTGTAATGTATGCTTTATCCAAGTATATTGATTTAATTGAAAGATCAATGCTTTATCCATTGAAGTCTACCTTACCTGGTGCTGACCTGAGCAAGACGTCAGCATGACGAGAACCCCATCAGAGGTGAACTTGTGCATGTGCAACGTGTTAAAGACACGTGTCGCCTTATGATCTACGGCAAACTTGTACATTCCGTATTGATAACGAAGTTACCATAAGCATGGGCGTAGGTAGAAAATTTTTTCACATAGGCTGCAGAATATGTTGTAGTTTATTCGAATCGATAGGTCCTCTAACATAGTTTTGCACAACTCGTAAATGTTTGAAGTTGACTTTCTTGTATATTTAAATGATTCAGAATCAAAAAACTAATCGATAGAGCTTATGTATCAAACAAGTCGGGTAGAGTGTGTTCGCAAATAATAATTCAGTTAGAGTTGTGAGTTTTGTTCTAGGTTTTACGGTTTATTAAATGAAATGAACTGAGTTTAGACGAGTCAAACTTAAGCTCGAATATTTTATTTGTTCATTAAATGAGTTAAGCCACGACAACTCGTTTATTAAATGAACACGAGTTCAGAATTGAAATACTCGATTCGAAAAATCTATCTCCAAACGTGTTTAAAGAAGTCAGAGTATGAAAATAATTTTTAAATTTAAAATAAATTTTTGAATTACACAGTAAATATAAAAATTTATTATACTTTCTAACTATTCGTGTTTTATATGAGGATGGCTCTCCTGAAAAAAACAAACTTGTGAAGATTTAACTATTGTCTTATACTTATGACAATTATTTATTTTTAATTGTTTCATTATTTTTTCTTTAAAAAATATTAAAAAAATCTCATGTACTTGAATTTTAATTTAAAAAATAACATAATTTATTCAAAGATATACTATAAAATAGTATAATCGTCTTATCATTCTTGTTATATGTCATGTCATGTTATGTCATTTAAAGTATATATGTTATTTCATTAAATTTGCCAAATAAATAAATAAAATTTAATAGTAAATTTTATATAATCAACTATCATTTATTTAAAAATTCAGCGAATATATAAACTTGATTGTGAACTCTACAATTTCAATTACATGTTAAGTATTTAAATGAAAGTCTAGCACAATAAATATTGTATCGAATAAAATTATTCAAATTAATTTAATCTATTTAATCAAGTAATAAAAAAATAAACACAAAAATGACATAAAAGAGACATAATAATCTAAAAATAATAGTTGAAAGAACTTAAATGATCATGTTCAAATATATAATTCATTAATTTAATATAAAATAATTTTATTTTATTTTAAGCCAAAATAAGATTAATAATGAGCTAATCTAATGTAATATGGACTAAAATATTTTTTTTTACCAATATAAAGATAACAATGAAAGTTGGGCAATTAAGACGGTGGTGAAACCCACCACAGCCTTTGGATTGCTCCACCCTTGCATCTTATCTAGAAGAGTTGCATGCAAAATGACACGTGGCAGTGATTATTTTATGGATCGGTGATTATACTTGTTGAGGCCTACGACCCATATACGTTTGACTGTGTTTTTGGGCTCAAATAAAACACAATCCAATAAAAATGAACGATATTAAATTAAATCTATCATTATATAAAAAAAAATAATAACATTTTTACAAATTTAGAAACATTTTCTGCCATAATCATTAAATATATCTTACATATAGTAATTGTAGGACAAAAAAATTGGCGTTACTAATTGTGTAAAGATTTGTTTCTCTTTTTCTTGTTTTTTAGGTTATCAAAACCATTGTTTGACAGTAAATATTTTTTTTTATTTTCCTGTTTTTTTAGGTTTCATAGGCAGAAAAATGGATAGATTTTAAAAAAATTGGTAGTTTATAAAATTTCATAGCATAATACGTGAGTTTAAAAAATCTCATCCCATACTTATACAGATTTAAAAAAATCTCATCCCTTATCTATACAGATTTAAAAATCTCATCTCTTATATATACAGATTTAAAAAAATAAAATAAAATAAAAATCAATTCATAATTACAAGTAGAAATCCATCTACTTTAAAAGGCTAATTTTCATTGGTCTAATTACTAATATTTTTTTACAAATATTATAAACTAACAATACATCCTCATAACAACAATTTCAAAATGGTGTGTAATCAATTTTTTTTAGATTGAAGTAACACCATATAGTTGCTTATAAATCTCATAGCATAAATCTACAGGAGTCTCTTATTTGTTACAAAATTCTTAGTTTAAAAAATTTCATCCCTTATCTATACAGATTTAAAAAAAATAAAATAAAAATAAAAACTAATTTATAATTACTACTAAAAATTCATTATCTACCTTAAAAGGCTAATTTTGTCTAATTACTAATATTTTTTAAATATTATAAGCTAACAATACATACTCGGTAACAACGTAAAAAGTATAATAATAATTTTAAAATTTTGTGTGATCAATTTTTTTTACATGGAAGTAACTCCATATAATAGCTCACAACTCTTATCTCACTTTTACACAATTGTTAGTTTAAAAAATCTCATCTCTTATAATAAAAAAATAAAATAAAATAAAATAAAAACGAATTTATAATTATTATTAGAAATTCATTATCTACCCTAAAAGCTAGATAAATTACTACTAGAAATTAATTATGTACTCTAAAAAGTTAATTTTCATCGGTCTAATTACTAATATTTTTCAAATATTATAAGATAACAATATATCCTTGATAATTTTAAAATTGTGTGTAATCAAATTTTTTTAGATGAAAGTAACGCCATAAATTCATATACATAATGTGTTTATTAAATTAGGCTTATAATATTTTAGATACTTTAACCAAATTGTTTAGACATTGTTTTTACATATTCTTCTATATATATATATATATATATATATATATATATATATATATATGCATATACACATATACATTATTGATGTTAAATTTAAATATTTGTAGGCATGTTTTCTTTACAAAATAGTCTAGAGAAATCTTTTTTACACAATGTTAAATTCAAATATTTTTAGATATGTTTTCCTTCTAAAATATTAAAAAAGTTAGGTGACTTCATATCTTTCAAGTAATATAGAAAATTTTGAATACTTTTACATATTGTAATATAATATTTAGGTGTTATTAAACATACAAATTTTATATTCACTTATACAAAATAATGTAAAATTTATGTTCCCGTATACAAATAATTTTACATTGTTTGACCCCGAATCTTTAATTTATAATAGTGAAGTATTGTTTATCTTCCTCTTTAATTTATAATTTTTTTTTTCCTTTTTTTTTTAAAATTGGATCAATAGTAGTTTCCACTTCTGTCATTGAGTGTCTCAAACTCGAGGTCTATTTATAATATTGTTAATTTAATATTGTTTCCGTGTATCGCACATGATACACATTAGTTATGTACAAAGCACGATCCGTACGTAGATTAATATAGTATAGTAGTGTTTAAGTATAACACTGTGTACATATGTCAGTACCACTACCGTGTGCCCTGG